GAGTATAAGTTCAAGTATATCCAGTACTAGACACCATGTACTTGTAGTGTAATGTATACTAATTTAAATACTTGTTCGTACTAAACTGGGACTTTTTTTTGTTTATAAAATGTATACTTTACGTATACTTTACTGTTAGGTCTTTTAAAGTTTATAAACTTACCAAAAATAACTATACTTTAGATACATGTCATTAAGTATACTAAAGTATATAAAAGTGTATTTCCCTAAGTGTACTTTTATTTACCATATAGACTGATATAAGTACACTAGCACTTTACTGACAATTATACTTCTGGGACTAAAATGGCCCACAATAAGTTTATGAAAGTATGTGAAAATGTACTCGACTACTAAAGTTTATTGTGGCCAAATGTTTAAACATTATATATACTAAGTACACTTAAACTTAGTATATTTTTAGTACAAGCCAAGTATAGTGTTGATAAACTTAAGTATAATCAGATAAGTACATAAAAAGTAACCTGCAAGTATAAAATTTATTATTTAAAATTTGTATACTTAAAGGAGACTACTTTTTGATAAGGGGCTTTTAGAAACATTGGGACATCAGGTTCTGTATTAAACTGGTTTAATTCATACCTCTCCGACCGCTCTTTCTCAGTACTTCAAAATCAAACTTATTCTGAACCAGCCCAACTCACGTGTGGCGTTCCACAGGGTTCAATCCTGGGGCGTCTCCTTTTCCTTCTCTACATCCGCCCACTAAGTCAGAATATACTGACAGTTTTCATGATGTCTCCTATCACTTCTACGCTGATGACCTGCAGTTATACTGCTCTTTTAATGAGTCAAGTCCCCACAAGCTCCCCCACAAACGAGAAAACTCTCTCGTTATAACGAGAAAAATATCTCGTTATAATGAGAAAACTATCTCGTTATAATGAGAAAACGATCTCGTTATAATGAGAAAACTATCTCGTTATAATGAGAAAACTATCTCGTTATAATGAGAAAACTCTCTCGTTATAACGAGAAAACTATCTCGTTATAATGAGAAAACTGTCTTGTAAAAACGAGAAAACTGTCTTGTAAAAACGAGAAAACTATCTCGTTATAACAAGAAAACTATCTCGTTATAACAAGAAAACTATCTCGTTATAATAAGAAAACTATCTCGTTATAATGACAAAACTGTCTCGTAAAAACAAGAAAACTATCTTGTTATATCAAGATAAACATCTCGTTATTACATGTTATGATTTCTTATGGTTTGTCATTTTCACGGAAGTTCATTGTCTGGATGGCGTGATGGAGAACACGACTGAACCACTATAAACAAAAACAAACAGAATTATTTGGGTTTGTGCTCAGATGTTGCAGTTAGTAGCACTTAATAATATTCACTCTCTAATCTGAATTCAGACGCTATTATTTCAAAAACGGTATTCAGTACTAACTTGTCATTTTTTAGTCTAGAAATGTGTTCCTCTGGCAGATTTCTTCTTCATAAAAAGCATATAGTGAGACTCAGTAAGTGTTCTCCATCACGCCATCCAGGCAATAAACTTCCGTGAAAATGACAAACCATAAGAAATAATAACACGTAATATCGAGATGTTTATCTTGATATAACAAGATAGTTTTCTTGTTTTTACAAAATAGTTTTCTCATTTTTACAAGATAGTTTTCTCATTTTAACGAAATAGTTTTCTCATTATAACGAGATAGTTTTGTCGTTATAACAAGATAGTTTTGTCATTATAACGAGATAGTTTTCTCATTATGACGAGATAGTTTTCTCGTTATGAGATAGTTTTCTCGTTATGAGATAGTTTTCTCGTTATAACAAGATAGTTTTCTCGTTATAACGAGATAGTTTTGTCGTTATAACGAGATTGTTTTCTCATTATAACGAGATAGTTTTGTCGTTATAACGAGATAGTTTTGTCGTCATAACGAGATAGTTTTCTTGTTATAACGAGATAGTTTTCTCGTTATAACGAGATAGTTTTCTCGTTATAACGAGAGTTTTTTCGTTATAACGAGAGTTTTCTTGTCATAACGAGATAGTTTTCTCGTTRTAACGAGTTTTCTCGTTATAACGAGACAGTTTTGTCATTATAACGAGATAGTTTTGTCGTTATAACGAGATAGTTTTCTCGTTATAACGAGATAGTTTTCTCGTTATGAGATAGTTTTGTCGTTATGAGATAGTTTTCTTGTTATAACAAGATAGTTTTCTCGTTATAACGAGATAGTTTTGTCGTTATAACGAGATTTTCTCATTATAATGAGATAGTTTTGTCGTTATAACGAGATAGTTTTGTCGTTATAACGAGATGATAGTTTTCTCGTTATAACGAGATAGTTTTCTCGTTATAACGAGATAGTTTTCTTGTTATAATGAGATCGTTTTCACGTTATAACGAGATAGTTTTCTTGTTATAACGAGATAGTTTTGTCGTTATAACGAGATAGTTTTTTGTTATAACGAAATAGTTTTCTTGTTATAACGAGATAGTTTTGTCGTTATAACGAGATAGTTTTTTGTTATAACGAGAGTTTTCTCGTTATAACGAGATAGTTTTCTCGTTATAACGAGATAGTTTTCTCATTATAACGAAATAGTTTTCTCGTTATTACGAGATAGTTTTCTCATTATTACGATAGTTTTCTTGTTATAACAAGATAGTTTTGTTGTTGTAACGAGAAAGTTTTGTCGTTATAACGAGATAGTTTTCTTGTTATAACGAGAGTTTTCTCGTTATAACGAGATCCGGTTTAAAAATAAATTCATACCATGTGGCAGCTCTATGCTTCCATAATTATTTTTGCTTTCTTTTGATTTTTGCTTTCTCTTTCTGATAATGAATGTACAGCACGTTGTGAAATCCTTTTCTGTGAAGGGCACTATTATAAATAATCTCTTACTTACTTACTTCTTACTTACTTACTTCTTACTTACTTACTTACTTACTTACTTACTGACTTACTGACTTACTTACTTACTTACTGACTTACTGACTTACTTACTGACTGACTTACTGACTTACTGACTTACTTACTTACACACACAGACACACAAAAAATGCCAATTCGTTCTTTCACATATTTGACTTTCTTTAGCCCTCTGATTAAACGGCCACGCGCTTTCTTAAAGAACTACACTTCCCACGTATCTGGCGCACAGACCTCTGAGGTCCCGGATGTCACCCGTGCCGGAAGAGAAGCTTCTTTCCCAGCCATCTTGTGGCTTCATCTAGCGAAGTGTTCGCACCAAGCCTCGTAGAATCGGAGGAAAATCCTGCTGAAGGGGCGCCATCATGCCCGGACAAATGCAAGAAGGTTTTGGCTGTGCCATAACCAATCGGTTCGACCAGTTATTTGACGACGAGTCGGATCCGTTTGAGCTCCTGAAGCAGGCTGAAGTGAAGAAGAAGAAGGAGCCTGCTGTCCCTGGTGCCGCCAAGACTGTAGCGCAGGCGGCCAAGCAGCCCAAAAAGGAGTCCCAGAAAGAGAGGAAGACACCCTTGGCTGATAAGAAGGAGGAGATCCAGGCTGCAGTTCCACTTAAAAAAGAGGGTAACTTTATTTCGACACATCGAACCGTGTAATCCTAACAGCTTTAATGTCGAAGCTAATGAAGCTGCCTCTGGTTTTCAGACACGAGGTCCATGTTTCTGACTTTTACCGTCGACTTTTAGGATTTAATTCGGTTCAGTAATMTGATTTTCGTCTTTCCTGTGAATAAATTTATGTGAATAGTGACAAGAACTGGTTTTACGGCCCAGTTCAGATGTTTTAGCTTGTTGCACCAGAATCCCCACGGCTACAGGCCTGATTTAGCTCGTTGTGCCTTTCAGCTAGCTAACCTGTTCTCATGCGTTAACTCGCTACAACACGGCTGTCTGTTCGACATCACTGTTTCTAACAGAACCGATTAAAACAGGTGAACACGAGGAGGAGCTGCGTTAAATCAGAGCTAACAGAACACGTGCACTGCACGGTTGGTCTCTGACACTAATGAAAGGTTTTGTTTTGGCGGATTTCTCTCCACCCATCAGGGAACTACAGACCCGCTCTCCTCGTGGCTGCATCCCGCGTGTTAGATCCACACAGCGTGTTAGATCCACACAGCGTGTTAGATCCACACAGCGTGTTAGATCCACACAGCGTGTTAGATCCACACAGCGTGTTAGATCCACGCAGCGTGTTAAATCCACACAGCGTGTTAAAGACACACAACTTAACCTCACGCTGTGCGCTTCTAATCTGCTGTAAATAAACTCCATATTCAGTTTAAATCACAGTTTAAAGGTTATTTGTTAAAGTTACAGAGGATACAGTGTGGGGGGACTTTGACATCACATAATGTGAAGTGAAATTTTCACTTGTGTCACGTCAGGTTGTGAAGTAGGCCCATGATGGTGAGACAGGTGCACTTAGTGTGGTGCAACCTCTGCTGTGAAGTTAGTGGAGGTCTATTTTTGTATCTGGTGATTTCGTCAGTGGGTGGGACTTCTGTTGCTGCTGGCAGTGTGTCAAGAAGGGTGGATTACTGACTGGGTCAGAACACCAGCATACCTAACTTGTAGAGCTGGGCGGTATGACCCAAATTTTATATCACGGTATTTTCAACAATTACACCGGTTTCACGGTATTTGACGGTATTTTTTCCCCTCACAGCTCAGCTGATAATAAAATGTACAAACTTTGCTTATTGACTTTTTTCTTTTACCTCTGTGTGACTGTTTCCCTCCTCTAAACATCTTTTCTTCTTTTGCCTGGTTGTAGACAGTAATCATGCATTTAGGTCCGATCATGAAGGGTTGAGAAAAAAACATTATCTGGTCTATCGTTACGTGTTAATAAAACTTTAAAAGGATGGCTCACCTTACACACCAATCAACTCAGCTACTAAGGGTGTAAGAAAATATTGATACACTGAAATGTCGCGATATTTAATTTCCCGATACTGTATCGATATTCTAAAGCCCTGTATCGATTTTTTATT